AATATCAGTTTTTTGTTTATATTATTTTTTTCGATCATGTCATTTTAGTTTGAACATCTTGTTGTAAAACATAATAAGCAGCAAGTTCATTCAACTAGAAACAAAGGAAATTAGATTAAATGAAGTTTGAACATATAAAAGGGCAAAATCAGGTTCGATGTCTCCTGGTATCATTTTTTATCTCATTCAAGCACATAACCACATTTTGAGTTTGTATTAAAATAATATTTAAAGTAAAATAATTAGAGTTAATTTGATGTAAAAGTGAGAGAGATGTGATTGAAAGTGATGAGTAGTTAAAATTATGTGAATTGATGATTAGTGAATTAAAGTTAATATGATGTATAGAAATGATTGTTTGATATTATTTAATTATATTAATAATACTGAAGATAGTTGATTTTTCTTTTTTTAAAATTTGAGTTAGATTTGAACTAAAATTAATTAATTTTTTAGTCAACCAAATTTCATTTTCAAGCCAGCAAAAAAGAGGAGCATTTATTCGGGTTCTCAGTTATCACCTGACGTATCTGTCCTTGGCCTGCCACTCACAACATTACACCTCGCCACATCCGTTGATTTTTCTCCAAAGCTATGATATTTTACAATATGATCTCGAAAATTTAGAATTAATACACACCTTAAGATTCATATTGTAAACAGTAATATTAGCGACATTTTATAATACATAAATAGTTTTGTCTTCTTCCGGCACCCCCAACAACAATAATTCACCGGTCACCTACTTATTAACCTCCAAAAACGCAAAAAACGTGTGCGTTCCTTTCCATCTCTGGACTGCTCACAGCCACACACATAGAAAATTAAGTATCAAAACATGGATTACCCGCACGGTCGTCACCCCCACCACGGCGGCGGCCACCGGAGGGTCGATGAAGAAGAAGAACGGCGACACGGGTACTCGCCGCCTGCACGTCCCCATCCTCCGCCCTTCTACGGCGGGGACGCTCCCCCTCCGCCGCAGGTCAACCACACCTCCCACATGGGCCCGCCGCCGCCGCCACAGCCCCACCCACCGCCCTTCTACGTCGGTGGCGCTCCCCCGCCGCCGCCGGCGTTCCACACCTCCCACATCGGCTCGCCGGGCCCGGCCGCATACCACCCTCCTCCGCCTCCCACCGTCGCGAAACTCCACCCGCCGCCGCCGCCCACCGTCACCAATTTCCACCCGCAGCCGGGCCCCGCCGCCCCGGGCCACCCCCACGCGCCCCACTTCCCGCCGGCCGCCGACCACCACAAGGAGGACGAGCTCAGCAACAAACCCGCCGTCAAGATGTACTGCAAGGCGGATCCAGGCTACGCCCTCACCATTCGCGACGGAAAAGTCGTCCTTGCCCCCGCCAATCCATCTGATCCTCGTCAGGTGGGCTCAGATCTCTGAATTCTATTTCTAATTTTTTCTCCGATTAAAATGAAATTAAAATCAATCAGGACTGTGAATCAAGATTTTTTTGTGATTTTGTGACGTCAGCACTGGGTAAAAGATGAGAGATTGAGCACGAGGGTGAAGGACGAAGAAGGTTTCCCAAGCTTTGCTCTGGTCAACAAAGCCACTCGGCAGGCCATCAAACACTCCTTTGGCGCCACTCATCCTGTATGTAAATGTTCTTACAACACATTCTTAACTAATTGCATGAACAATTCATCAGTTTTATGATTCTGTATGAAATGAAAGGCTCACAGAAATTTTTGGCTTCTGTGTTTCATTTTTGTCTTAGTAATTTAACCTCAATGGGTAGCATTTTCTCATGAATCATTGTCCATATAACCACGCTTGTATTGACTCCCTCCATGATTTAGTTGCTTTATCTTAATTTTATGGAGAAACTATTGGAAGTGTTTAGTTTGGGGAAAAAAATGTTTGAGCTTAGGTCTTGTTTTTTGACATGGTAAAGATAGATGAACTTATATGAGGCTAAGGCATATAAGGGTAGGTGGAGATAATTAATTGTAGTTCTTTGAGCTTATACTCTTGAAAGCTTATTTTTTGCATATCTTTAGGAGTTAAAAGTTTGGTCATATATCCATCACTGCTAGAATGGATAGTGCCAGGGAAATGGAACAAAAAAAAAAAACAAAATCAGCTAAAAAAATTCTGCAAGCATCTCTCCACACAAAATGCTTCAGTTTGCTTTTAATTAAAAGCATTATTTTCATTGATGCTAAAAACTAAAGCTTATTTTTTCTCTTTGTGCCTGAAACAGGTCCAGTTGAGTGAGTACAATGCCAATGGATTTGATGAATCAATTTTGTGGACTGAAAGCAAGGACTTGGGAGACGGTTACCGTGCAATAAGGATGGTCAACAACATTCGCCTTAACATTGATGCTTTCAATGGGGACAAAAATCATGGAGGTGTTCGTGATGGCACTAAAATTGTCCTTTGGGAGTGGAAAAAGGGTGATAATCAACGCTGGAAGATTGTTCCATACTGTAAGTATGTGTACACACACACACACACGTATTAACTTATTCAACTTGAGTTTATAATTTGCGTGATAATTTTAATCGTCTACTGTGTGTGCTTGTACTTTAGTTGTTCTTGTGTGTTCTGATTTTCAGTTCTTTTCTTGATGCAGAAATGGAATTACATTTGCTAATTAATTACGATATTCTGAGGGCGAAGGGAGCTGCTTCGTTCTCTGGCTTTGTGTTGTTGATGTTATGAAAATAATCTGCAGTCACCTGCACTTTGGTGCTGATGAGTTATCGGCTTGAGTTTGTGGTAAATTGAAGGAACTTGAAGTGTGCTATGAAGTGGTTTGTACTGGAGATAATATTATTGTAGTTGTCTTGGTTATGCTTGTATTTATCACAATGCATATATATATCTGCACATAGGGCTGTTATCGAACTGAACTGTTCGCGAACAAAGCTCGTTCGTATTTGTTCGTGTTCGATAACAACTCGTTCGTTTAGTAATCGATCAGAACTCGAACTTGAAATTATGTTCGTTTAGTTATCAAACGCACACGAATAAGTTAGCTAACTAATCAAGCGTTCGCGAACAAAAAAAGATATTTATAAATATATATAGATATATATCAAATATTAAATAAAATACTTTGTGTAATAAAATAAAAAAAATCAAGAATCACGAACACGAACCGACAACAGATCACGAACAAGTTCGACTATATAAACAAACGGACATGAACATGTCGAACCAACAAGAAAAAGAACACGAACGAAATGTTTGATTCTATTGCTAAACGAACGTACACGAACATGTTCGAAATTAGTCGAAACCCTAGCACGAAAACCTTAAGCTCGATTCGATTCAGTTCGATAACAGCCCTATCTGCACATAACTGTATTGTGCCTCCCACAGTGCTCTTAAATTTTGTTAACCAAAAAAAAAGGAAAAAAAGGCCTACACTTGCAAAAAATAGACATCATCCTAACCATTTTCATGCCTAGAGATTTCTCAGTCGATCAATCAACCTTTTTGGCTTTTTCCAGTGAGGAAAATGCATTCTAACATGAATAAACAAAACAGAAACTTTTCTAATCTAATTCAAATTGGAGCAGTCAGTCCATCCAATTTCATCATACAAAAGTATCTAGATGGGACCAATGCACCCACCTTACTGCATAAATCCACCACAACAGGAGCCCGCCCATAATATTCCCGCCCCTTATCGACAAGTACAGGTGGATCTTGCCTCCGTCTGATCCAAACAACTTTCTGGGGCACCAAATTATCCACTTTCGCCTTCTCCCAAAAATGCCCCCCGCGAAAATTGTCATACTTGAACACTCCACACGTTCGGGCCTTGTGGCCCGATGGGCCCACATGCACTTCATTACAGTGTTTGCAGAACCTAGCTGGATAGACCATTAATAGCTTGTGAACTCTCAATCGGAGGGCCTCCCATGCATGCAGGGTTCTTGTGCCAACTAACCTAAGATCATCTTGTGATAATTTTTCGAAATTGGTTGTGTTGTTTTCGAGATTATCGGGTTTGGTAATAATATCTTCGTTGTTGATATTTGCGCCTGCTTGCAGGCAGAGCTCAATGACAGCTGGAATCCGGTTGTAATCGAATCTTTCGTCGTGTTCGATTACATTCTGGAACATTCTCTGAAGATGAAAGGTTTCTACGGGGACAATTATGTCTTTTAAGGTTGCTTTAAGCCAGTTATGGGGCTTGTTCTTCGCATGATGGCGGAAGCCTTGGCAAGTATGAATTAAGTGACCACTTTCGCCTATAAAAACTTCAGGGCAGTATCTGAACCAACAGAAAAAGAAATATAAATGATACATATATATATATATATATATGTTCGCATATAGTTTGCCGAACTAATGAAACTAAATCATTGACTAACGATAGCATGAGTAGATATATAAAACATGTCGTGTGTTTTCTAGATTCTAGTGGCTCGCTATCAATATAAAGAAGCTGGAGAGACTCGTACTATCATGTCTGCATTAAGACTCTAATTTTCAACAGAAACAATTGTGGAAATCATATAGATTACCTACTTATACAGAGAAGTCAATGTGATTTGGGAAGCTACAATATATAAATTTTTCTCTAAGGCCACTATGATAAATCCTATTTGCTATTCGAAATGATCAAGCAAACATTCTCTATCTTGGAAAACACAACTAGTCATTCAATGGCCAAAGAGCCCTTCCCTTATACACCAAGTGAGATTCCGAGAGTGATTATTGGCCTCTGATGCCAGGAAGATATTGTAAAGGATACAAATGAGGCTATTGGCACTAACTTTGTTCCTTCTGATGATAATCAAGAAACACCAAATTTGCTTACAAGTCACAAATCTGAGGCGCAGGTTCAATTGCTTGATGAGACCAATTTCATTCCATTATCTACAATTGGCGACAGGCCGTGACGTTCATAATTGGACATCACATTGGGGAAAAAGGCAAAGGCTTTGCATTCCGCATCTCCAAAAATGAAAACAAAAATCATATAAAAGAGTAATTTGTATACTGACAAAATCTAAATGACCTAAAATTGCAACATGTTAAACAACCGAGACGAATTAACTCAACCACAAATAGAAAAATCAACATTCATGAACAATTTCATTCTGAACAAATTAATGAGTAACCAGTTTCACTAATCACATTCCCAATTCACTAAAACCCTAAGCACAATCCCACTAAAATTTCCTCATCCAACAAAAAGAAGGGCCACGATTCGAACAAGATTTCAATCACTGACAACATTTATCAGCACCCATAAAAAGATCCACTTAAATGTGAGAAAATAGGAAAATTTAGGGTAATTACTTGCAAGCCCAGACGGGAATATGCTGGACGAGTGTTGATACGCCGTCGTATAGGGCGGCTCGAGCCCGTAGAACCTCATTGGCCACCGGAATCATAGCTCTGATTGGATAATCCTTGGACCGTTCCTCAATCCGCTTCAGGATCATGGGCTTCAACTTCTTCATATCCAGTGGCTTCGTGCTGTAAAATCTGATTCCTCGGAAGATCACTTGTTGAGCGAGAGAGCCGTTTCCAAACCTTTTAAGCTCCATCAGATTCATCTTCACGAAGGGGTTCATGCTGCAAAGAAGATGGAGCTTGAGAGAAACGACTTGGAGAGGTTTTGTTCAGCGGTGAAAAGCGCTTTTTACATTTCGAAAGTCGCGCGAAGGAGATGCTTGGATATAAAAAAATTTGGATTTGTTTAGATTTTTTTGATTTGGTTTGGTTAATTTTGAAAAAGGTAGTACGGTTAGTTGTTAGTGGTATATTTAAAATTGATTTAATGTAAAAGTATGAGAGAAATGATTGAAGTGATGGTTAGTTAAAATTATGAGAGAGGATGAATAGTGAATTAAGGTTGATGTGATATGTAAGAATGATTGGTTGATATTATTTAATTATATTAATAATATTAATATTAGTTGGGTTAAAGTTGAGTTAAAAAAATGGTTGAGTTAAAAGTGTTTGGATTTTTTGGATAAGTTTTGTATCCAAGCATCCTCAAGCATTTGTTGTGTTTATGTTCAACTAGTGCGAGACAAACAATATTAAATAATAATTATAAATAAAGATGATGATAAATAATTAACTAGTAAGTTTCATAAAAACTAATTGTCCAACAAAAATTGAAAAAGAATTAAATTCTTATTTTAAAATAACAAATTATAAATAATTATTAATTTTTTTTGTATTATTTTGAATTTCAAAAAATATTTTTGTGAAGTATTATTTTTTCTATTTCATATATATTCATTTTTATCAAAATTAAATATAATAATTAATTTATTCGACAATTCATATAACGCTCGTGAACAACACAATTGCTTGAAAATTAAGTATTTTATCAAAATAAATAAGTGAATAAATTAATATTTAGAATGATAAAAATATGAATATATAATTAATAACTAAAAAATAATAAAATTAATAATTTAAAATAATACTCATTTTTATACTTAAATTATCAAAATGATAATTCTTTTGTGTGAGCAATGAAATCAACTAATAAGAGATGGAATTGCAATAAGTTATTTGATCCAACATATTGAAATATATTATCATTCTTCTACCTACGACGAGTATTAATAAGATTGAAATACATTTTATGGTATGTGATTGATTAATCATGAGATCTTAGCATATATACAACTTAATCTATTTGCAGTTGATAGATGAATAATTTTGTATTGATAATAGCACATTTTAAGTCATTGGAATGGATAAAAATACTGAAATATGCAATTTAGGGTATTTTGAAATTTCATTTTGAATTATTTAAAAAAATAAAAAATTATATATAATGGTAATTTTGTATATCTTATATTGTGCCAATGTTTTTTTTATCATTTTTTAAATTATCACAAAATTTTGGCCCCACCTCATTTAATTTGATGGATCCGCCCCTGATTGTGGCGCGATTTTTGGATGAGTATAATAAACAACAATTTTTTTAAGAATATTCGGAGTTTTGGATGAGTATAAACGAACAATATTTTCTTAATATAATTGACAATATATTATAAAACACCCAAAATAGTTAGTTTGTTTTTAAAAAAATAAAATAAAATAAAATTAGTTAGTTTGTTAATTGTAGGAGTTTCGGTTGAAATTGTTAAAATATTGATATGAGTTCAACCCAATTAATACTTCGTCAGCTTT